GATCGCAAAAAAATTTCATGTGGTTTCCCATCAAAAAATATAATTTTTGGCATAAGGCCCTAGCCACTCTATAACTTGGCAATAATAGTGGCTGGTAGAAGTTAGAACAATCCACTACAAAGATAATGCAGGTTAAAATTATGCAACTGACTCAGTAACCATCCACAATTTTGCAGACTTAATGGAAGGGAAGTGAAGAGGGTAGGATGCCTTCTTGTCTAGGGAACTAATGAATCTCTAACAGATTTTGGCCACTCAAAAGAGGAACCTGAACTTTCTATTGTGATGCCTTTCTATTCAAATATTGGGATTATAGATGCTCGAACTAGGTTTTATACCCAAATTGTTGAGGAATATGAGCATGCTGGATTCAATTAATAGTTCTCATGTTTAAATGTTACTGAAAAGCAAGTTGGGTTTCAGGCCCTAGTGGATAACAATTTTTACAAAACCAAAGAAAAAATTGGAGAGATGATCAGTCAAGAATGTATTTTGTAGAATACTTACAGCATGAACATGCATTGATGCATATTTGTAAAAGCATCATCAAATGGATCTGCGAAAAGGAAATTCTCTGCAAGAACAGAGATTCTCTGAGATACTAAGAATAATGCACGTTGACCAATGTAGGGCTCACTTCCAAGCTTTCGGATCAAGTGCTGAACGAAAAACTGAGCATCAGTTTCAGAGTGTTTTGATGCTGGAACAAATGATTAGTAACATAATTAGAGACATGATATATTAGCAATCAAAGAAAAAGCGTAAATGCAAGATCATATTATCCTTGAAAAAGGAAATTATAGCCAGCCATAATGCGATATGATTAATGGTGAATGCCATCATAGGGTGACAAAAATATACAATTTGAATAAATTTTAAAATGTGCAGGAATATAATGCTGAAAATATTAACAGAACCCAACCACAAACAACAGTTTACCGTTTCCTTGCAAGGGGCAACACATCCTTCTAACCAAACGCGTGATTAAGCTGCTGATAATTCCTTCTATGAGTTCCACATTCATTGCCACTGATAACAGGTTCTTCATTGAAGCTTCAAGAAATAGACATAATGCATTTAGAAAAATATATACAAGTAAAGGTGGCAGGTGATGGAAACACTGCAACCTGGAAAAGGCAAAGAGAAACTTAAGAGATAACAGGGCATTCCCACACTGCCCAAATTACTACCCACAATCACGGATGTTCCATGTGGTGATGCCAAACAAACCCACAATGAAGCTCAATGTATCTTCCAGAATCTAAGCAAAAATTTCAGCAAGATTCTTGCGACCTTTATACTTAATTTGTAGTTTGTTTTCCTGTGTTTATAATCAACCTATTATCTAGATATATCTTTTTATTTTGACAATGGAACCATTAAAAAAAGTATTTCAGTGAGACTACTCTATAGATAGCATTAATTTGGAAAATTCTCAGAATGTAGATACCATTCAACTCAAATAATCAGAAGGAAGAAATAAAAAATTTGCTACCTAAAATAAAGTCTGCAGCTTGGTGTGACCAATTTGCCACATTGGTCTCCTCCACCTGAAATTCCAATAGACCGAAGTTAAAATGAAAATGTATGATTACATAAACACCGCAATAAGTAACTAAACTGCAAATTAATAAAAGTAAGATGTGGATCTAACAGGAGAACCGGTTTCACAGAGCTCAACAAGAAAATCGACTGAGGCCCTAAGCTGCTCCATTTCATCTTCACTGTTTATGTCTGCACTAGAAATTACTAAATGCATCAAACCAGATTATACAAAAGCAAATTAATTTCCAAAAAAAAACCAAATAGGAGTATAATTTGAGTTACACGAGTTGATCATAATTATGTATTCACCTGCAAAATGGCGTCGCTGGGATGAACAACTTCTTCTTCTCCTTTCCTTAAAACGTACTGCGATTTTATTTTATTTTTTGAAGAAAAGCAGTTGTTAGAATTAAAGAACTGGATACATTATGCAGAGTTTATCAGAATACGAGAAAGAGGATGCGTTGATGAGGACCAACCATGTCTGAGAAATCTGCGTCGCAAGACATCATTGAATCTGCACTGAGAAGGATCTGGAAGCCGCTTATTAGGGCTTAGTTTCCCCAAATTATCAAAGAAATAACACTTGCAAGAAGCGCTTTGCGGGAACAAGTCGCACTGCGAAGCATCTGAAACCGAAAAGACAGTACAAGCTTATGCATAAACCTGTAAATTAAGTATTAATCACGCATGAAGAAAATGAGAGAGAGAGAGAGAGGCGTAAGCTAGGAGGAGGACCTTCAGCTTCGTTGAGATCTTGTCGGAGTCTCAAAAGCTCTTGCTTTCGCTCCTTAGCCTGAAGCACAACTCAGTTAATTAGGTTCCGAAAGCAATTTAACAAAAATTGTGATCGAATCGGAAGGTGTGTGCGTTGAAAGAGACGAGAGATACCTTTCGCTTCCATCGGAGAGCGTCGGATTGATCAACAGGAGGAGGAGGAGGCTGCTGCTTTTGCTGCTTTTGAAGAAGCTTTGATCGGAGAAGAGAAATGGCTACGGCTACCCTCAGCGACTGCTCCTCCGCCCCTGACTTTGTTGTTCGCTCTTGTTCGCTGCCTGACATTCTCTCGCACTCCGCCCAATCTCGCGGGAAAATTCGCTCTTATTTCACTTTCTATTTATATTATTTTAAAGCCATTTGTTGAAAAGTCATGGTTTTACGAGGGATTTCTAAATAAAATGACATTCAAATCCCAAACATTTATCGACTAGGCCCATATTCTTTTGTATTGTATAGGGCCATGCTTCTTTATGTTTTGTATATGGATATCTTTACAGCGTGTTTACTTACTAGAAATTGAAAAGGTCGAATCAGAGAACTTTAGAGTAAGGAAGTAAGCGCTATTAGAGACTAGTCCCGTGAAACGTGTGTTGACTTGTATATCTGTGTTGTCGTTTAGACTCTCGTTTATATTTTAAAAAAAGAGTAAATAAGAAATTGGAATTTGATCAACTACCCTCTTAATTCCTAAATTTGACGGGTATTTAATTACATATTGGAAAAAACTTGGCTCCTTATCCTTGTTTACCATCAATGTCGTTCTGATACTTGGCAAATTTCTTTAAACCCTATACTCCTCAATTTTAAGGAGCTATGCAATGCTATTTTAATCAGCTCTATTAGAGATGTCAGGCCTAAAATAAAATATATAAAAATCACCATGTGAGCTCTCCGTGACACTTGAGAGACATTTAACTTTTTAATTGTTGGGCGAGCAGGTTCAATGAGATGCAGTTACACAACATACGTCTACGAAAAAATTGAAAAGAAAAAGAAAAATTAGCATTGAAATCCAAATGATATATGCTCGGAATCAATTTCCTTTGATAGTGGAATATAAAGACATGGCATTTATGAGCTGGCCAAGTTTAACAATGAACTAAATTTAATTAGTCAAGAAGAGAACCAAAAAAGACGAAACAAAACTAGTCAAGTACAAAACAACTGGATCCTTTGAAGGGACATTCTCCACCTTGAGCAAATTTAAATATAGCACGTGATTAGCCATCCACATCTCCAGAGCAAAATCCATGGCATTATGATTTGATTTCTTTCCTCAATAAACACACTACTATGACCTCGGGAAATATACAACTCAAATTAAAAAGAAAAAAAAAACCTGTCCTGTCCCTGGCATCTCCACCTTATCACATCTATTGTAATACAAATCACTCACCCAAAAAAGAGAGGGTGCAGGGTAACGGCGTTGCAAAGAGGCGAAGCACAAGCACATGGAGTTCGCACCCCCACAGAAACTCATGTGCTCATGCGAAGCTGTTCGAGGGTTTCTAAAATAGACTCCGGCAGGCATCAATATCAGACACTTGAGAATCCAACACGCCTTGCCCAGACGGACTAGAACTAACAACCTTCAGTCCTGCCTCTAATATAGCTCTCTGGAAGTAGTCGTCATCCACCTCCTTCAGGACCTCTTTCACCACCTTAAAATCCAAGCCTCCAACCAAAATTAATTTCCCTATAACTTCACCGAAGTTACTCGGTGCTTTTGGCAGATCAATGCCAACATCATTCAGGATAGATGCATACAATAAACATCCACTCCTTATGTCACTAGCTGTAAACACCTTCTTAGAAAACAAATACTCCAGAAGCTTCACAAGTGATTCAACACAGGGTCGACTTTTCTCTAGTGCAAGGGAGATAGCTTCCTTGACAACCTCAGGGTGGTACGCTGGAGATCTTAGCTCCTCCACACACAGTAATGCTTCATCTAAGAGTCCAACACTGAAATATTCCTCCAAAAGGGAGACTGTTTTTTTCTTAAGCTCATCCAGTTTCAACTTTGGAGCTGGAGCTGAGGCTTGTGGCTTTTCAGTAAGTGGTGATATAGATGGAGCAACAACAGGTCTAGCAGACACAGGCGCTTGAGCTACAGGCTCTGCACCAAAAGCATAGTTGGATGGACGAGCAGGACCACCACCACTACCCTGCAATAAGGCACTTGGCCTATTACTGGTAAGGCCACCACTACCCTGAGGTAACAGTCTTGTGTTCGCTGATGTTGATTTTCCAACGAATGGCAACTGGCCACGTCCAGCAGCATCACCTCGTGGCATTGATCGATTCCTAGGGACCTCCCAATCATCATTATCTATTCCAGGCATCCCAGGCATCTTCCTTGTTCCTGGCATCCCAGGCATTCCAGGCATTCCAGGCATCATACCCCCTAAACCAGTTCGGTTGTTTGGGAAACCCCCAGGACTGGTATTCCCTTGAGCACCAGTAACGTTGTTACGACCACTTCTGATGCTTGCAGCAGCACCCGGACGCAATCCAAGATTTTTCTCTGCCTCCGTATGTATTTCAGAAATGGTTTTGGCTTTTACCTGTAACCAAAGTTCAAAATAAGATGATTAATAGTTAAATAATGCCACCTCTTCACATATATTACAAGAGTCAAATGCGCATGTATTTCAGCATGCCAGTCAAATACATATATTACAACAGCCTACCTCTTCACGTCTGGGAACCCAGTTGTTGGCCCGCAAATCAAGTACATCACGAACCATGAACCTCAACCTTGGAGCCAATTGAGGGTTCGTTGTCAGTTCCTTCAATCGGCTGAAGTACAAATCATTTATACGGCGTGATTTTGGGCTCTCGTCAAGCTGCTTACCAATAGTGTTAAAAAAATGACATATGGCCTCCACATTTTCCTCAGCAGGACAAGTTCTGTTATCAGCTCCTAAAAGTTCCTGTTTCACATAACAAATAACCATGAATAACATATTTAAAAAAAGGAGCTCATCAATAAAGGGCTAGAAAAGAGGGAATACAAGACGAACCGCAACAATGTGATGTACAATCTTTTCAGGTACCATCTTCTGCTTCAGAAGCTCTCCAATTAAACGAATGTTTCCCAGTGTACGAATCTTGGCCAATCTTTCTTTATCCCTACGCTCCATCTCTTGTTCAGGGGCAGTCATCTGCCTCACTTCTTCCCTCAATTTGTCAGCACCATCAAAAGCCTCCTGGCAGTTATTCAAGAGGACACGCTTGAAAGTGATTTCTTTTCCATCTGGTTCATCTGAGGGGAACCGGGGAAGCTTTTCATTAAGATCAGAGCACAGAAGAGCATACATGGGGCAAAATGTAGGTTCCAGCACAGCCTTATCAAATATCAGTGAAATAACCCCCTGGAATGCAAAGAAAACTCTGAGTACAGTTGACAGCAGTAACAAAACAGAACCTAAAGAGAACATTAGAAGGGCATATCAAAAAAGAAATCAAAAGCTCCACCTTTAAGATATCAGCTGAAGTAATGCCAGAGTCAATAAGTTGCCCTTTAAGGAGATCAAACTTCTCTGGGGTCAGCTTGTTCAGTATCCTACATATATAAACATAAAGCAAGTGGGATTAAACACAATGTTCTGAGGACAACTCAGTCTACAGGAAAAAAGATAACCAAACCATGGCAACTTGGGAAGCAAAGACAGTCTTTATGGGGAGATAATGAGACAGAGAATAGTATTTCCATATTTCAGCATCCGTTATCATTTTCCAAGTTGCATGTTTTAATCTCACAATCAAACAGATAACAAAAAGGCTTTCAAGGCTCAAGGTTATCCAGGGAGCAAGCAAATAATGAAGATATAATACAATATGATGAACTATCATGATATATTACCCCTTCACAGTCTTCAACACACGGTCCTTATCAGATAGGGTACCCCTTCTAGCTGACCATGGCACCTCAGCTTTGGTTAGAGCAGGAGCAGGCCCTCCCTGAAATAATGAGAAAACAGTGCCATCAGAAATGAAGCACAGTCAACACTGTCCTTGTATGCAAGTACAGTAGGTACACATGCAAAACTGAGACAGATGTTAAATGCACAATTTATCACATGATTAATAAAGTAACAATAAAATCATGCCAAAATACATGTATAATTACACTGACCATATTTGAAACCCTAAAACCTTACCCCTTGGTTGGAAGAGTTATGTGTCCTTGCAAATTGAGGTTGATTTGCTTCTTGTTGTCTGTAATCAAACCGATTACCAGACTCTTTATTCTCCCGAAGAGTCTCCCAAGATCGTTCCTCTCCAGAAGCAGGAACAGGAGCAGAGCGGCCACGCCAATCCCGACTGTCGGGCTCAGAATAACGACCTTGAGATTGAGGTGGAGTTGGCAGCTGGAGGAGAAAAAAAAAAAGTCTTATACAAAGCGCACAATGAATATCATAATATAATATGAAGATCAATTAGTTCTGTAAGGCTACATCACTAATCATTATAATCAGCAATAAGAACAAACATGATGAATTGCAATGAAACAAAAGATATTTGAAATTGATGATTTTGAACCCCTCCATCAACTTGAGCACTTAAAGCATTGAAATACAAGTTATTAGTTGGACAAATGCTCACATTGGTTTCTGCACGACCCCAACTCTGATCTTCACCAAGAAATTCAGCTTCAATTTCTTGTTTTACTTTCAGAATTTCATCAGGGACCTCAACAGCCTATAAAGAAGAGAGAAACAATCCAAAGGTCATTAAAGTTCATTTGAGAATATATAATCTTTTTTAGTTTAAACAAAAAAGTTAAAGAATCATACAATCTTCTGACGATTCATATAAATAAAAAATACTACTACTTTTCAAAATCAAGTGCTTTAAAAAATGGAATACCTCTCTAAGCTGTAAGATCTGGTCTCTGGTGTACTTCACACGCTCACAACCCTCAAACCGTGAGTCCCCAGCCTGTCATGGAAAGAGTTTAGAGAGTTTGACCACATTCAATGGGGCAAGAATGCAAAATAGGAACCACAGCTTAAGAGATTATAAATCTCCTTCAACTAAATAATTTCAAATGTGAAGATAATAATCGTAATTAAATAGATATCATCTCCCCAAACACACACGATCAGAAGGGAAATTTTTTTTTTGGCAATTTGGCACTTCGTAGGACATTTGGCATGGGTGAAACAAACTAACAATGGCAACACAACTACTAATACCGTGTGTGTGACCCAAAAATATAAATGTACTACCACGATGAATTTATAAATAATCCCAGGCCCCTCCTCAATGAACTTCAGCCTTTAGTGCATACAAACATAAGATCCCTCTTGTAAAATAGCCAACTCCCAATGATGCACCATGGATGAATGGCTCATTTGACTGTGAACCCCAATGAATCCGATGTCTGTAGGTCCTTTATGGGCAATCTAAGACTCGCTGCTCGCCCACCTAAAGCCTACATATAGCTGTTTGTCCATATTTACAGTAGGTACACCGTACACATACTAAGCGCCCCAACAAGAATTAGGACACTGACAATATTTAAACACTACCTCTTCTTTTTATATAAACAAAGGTTTCCATCAACTTAATAGTGGTTTTTCAGGTGGGTGGTGCAATAAACATTAACAGTTTGTTCGAATAACATTCAAAATTGGTAGGGAAACATCGAAATCACGTATTAAAGCATTAAAGGACTAATTATGTCAGAGAACCTATCCTTGTTAGCACATAATTCAATCCAAATAACAAACGTTATAGCTTTCTTATTATTCACCCAAGTAAGAGAAACAAAAAAAAAAATTACAAATTAAATCGAGAAGCAGAATAACAGCAAAGCAAAGCAACAACAAATCACATATCTAGATAGATGCATACATAATACAAATAGGGGCGGGAAAAGGAGACCCAGATCCAAAGAAAGACGTGAGATTTGATAGGTATACCTTGATTGAGAAATTAGAGGAAGCACCACCATGGGGACGCAAGAGAGGGAGATCAGAAGAAAGGGAGCCGAAAGCTAAAGAAGACGACGAGGAAGATGGGCCAGAAGAAGCGGAGGAGTCGAAGCGAGGACCAAGGAGTCTACCACGACCGCCACCAGGTCTCAAGCTCAACACCGTCTGATCACCCTGCTGCATACCTCGATCTTAATCTCCTGAAAGAATCTCCGCCGTCCGATCAAAGAACAAAGAGAGAGAGAGAGAGAGAGAGAGAGAGAGAGAGAGCAGAACAACAACGATAGACTCAGCGAAACAAGACAACTGAATCCTATTGAATTGGATTTATAGATATAAGGTGATTCCGATTCCGAGTCTGGTTCGGTTTTTCTCTCTTCTAAGGGTAAGAGAGAGAAAAGAGGGGAAGCTCAGAAGAGAGAAAGAGAGAGGGGTCCGTGGGGCGGTGGAGAGGCTAAAAACCCTTCCTTTCCTTGGTGAAGTGAGAGAGAGTGTGTCCGCGTTGGAATTGGATTTCCTTTTTTTCTTTTCTTTTTCTTTTCCCTCATGATTTTCGGTTTCAGTTTTTTTTTTTTTTTTTTTTTTTTGGTATGTCGGGTGAGTGTGATTACGTTGTTGTCCACTTGTCGTGTCGTCGGTAGGAGATGAGTTGTCTTGTGTACACTTTTCTAATCTTTTGAATTTGACGTATGTGCCCTTTGCCTTACTCTGACTTCTGTCCAAACTATATTTCCGTTTTTAGATTACTTTGCTTATTTTTGTATAACCACCAAAATTACGCATAATTCACAAAAATTAAATAAAAACAAATTACTTAACAAAGCTCATACAAAATACAAAAACCATGGTGGTGGTTTTATCTTTATTTTCAAGTATTGAATTTCAGGTAGGACAAAAAAACCAAGAACTTGACTGAGAACAAAAAAACTTGTTTGTAAAAATATAATCACCCTTTCAACGCACTTTCTGTCTAAATTTGTAATTTTGTCAAAATTTCTATGAAAATACATAAAGGGCTGGCTCATACCCACAAGATCAAATGAGCCCAGTACAACAAACCACAGACGAGCCCAAACACAGACAGGCCCGACAACTACAAAAGGCAAAATCTTACAAATTTGAGTTAATTTGCCAAACCACGACTTTTGTTGATATCATATGGCTCATGGTCAACTCTCGGAGCCGGAATTATAAGAGCTCAAAAATTGATTACGTTCTTGCATGGGATTTGTTTCTCTTAGAATTATTAGCAATGGTCGAATCGAGGGTGGGTATGTTATTTTTAATTCTATGTTAAGTATCTTAGTTAAGTAGTTTTTCCTTATCCTCGTCTTTATATCCGTAATATTCAAATTGAAAATTCTTCATCCTTGCTTTTAGGCTCGAAGCACAGTTATGCAGCATATGAACCACAAAAAATGGAGCCTCCTATAACACATTTTAGCCTAAGAGATATAGTAGCAAAAAATACCTTTTATGTGTGTACCTGATGCTTTTTTGATTTTATTTCTTTACTTTTTATATACTGGGCCTCTTTGACATAAACTAACCATTTTTTTTTATTTAAAGTTTTGCTAAAACTAAGGTAAATATTGAACATAAAAGGCCTCAATTTTGATTTCTGCCTAGGGTCTCTAAAATTAATGGACCGGTACCCCATTATGAAAAAAAATGAATACAAATTACTTTGTAGAATGAGAACAAAGCACTATGAGCACAACATATGATATATATCAATTTAATTTGTATTAACTAAAAATCTAAACACTACATTTCCAAAACATGATGATTTAGCACCACAATCACACATCTTAATAACATATTTATATAAACAAATAAATTTTATATATATTCTAAATGAAACGAATTAAGGTTGGGGATTAAAATATCATCTCGGCTCTTCCCGAACCCCTCCATACCCTTTTTCAATCCTTTGTGTGTAACCAAAGACTTTTACTGCCGAGAAAATTGGCATCCTTTGTGTAGAACCAACTTAGACTATACCAGTCCACATGTAATCAGACACACCATCAATCTGCCACCTCATCACCAGTCTACCCTTGGTTTTGCCCACGTCGATGCCCCAATTCAGGCCCCACAGATTCTCGAAGGAACCCACCGTTCTGATGTCACGACCAAAAAGTTCCTTCCCTTTCCAAACATACCATCCACGCAGGTTTAATTTCATCCAACAGGACGATGGTACGGAAGTAATTTTCGGATAATTGAGGCCCAGCTTCACATCGCAATCTTTCCTTCCCTTCCCGCGTCTAGAACCCAACTCAAACGATCCAGAACTATCTGGCACAACCTCAAACCTCTTATATGTTTCTCACCGTCTGTCCGTCACTTTTCTCGAATTATCTCTTACATTACTATAAATTTGGAGTACCTGTACCCAACCTATCTCACATTTTGACATCACAAAGCCTTAAGATTTTCCGAGCTTTCAAAACCATTTTTGCTAAAATTTCTTAGAATTCTGTGTGAATTTTGAGCGTCAAGCACAGTTCAATGGCAGCCGAGACTGAAGGCAAGGCCATAGGCATCGACCTTGGCACAACCTATAGCTGCGTCAGTGTGTGGCAAAACGACCGTGTTGAGATCATCGCCAACGACTAGGGCAACCGCACCACTCCCTCCTACGTGGCCTTCACAGACACCGAGCGGCTCATCGGCGATGCAGCCAAAAACCAAGTGGCCATGAATCCACAGAACACCGTCTTCGACGCCAAGCGTCTCATTGGTCGGCGATTCTCCGATCCATCAGTCCAAAGCGACATGAAGCTCTGGCCTTTCAAGGTCATCCCTGGTCCCGGCGACAAACCCATGATCGTCGTCAGGTACAAAGGCGAAGAAAAGACCTTTTATGCGGAGGAGATATCTTCCATGGTGCTGACGAAGATGAGGGAGATAGCTGAGGCTTATTTGGGTCAGACCATAAAGAACGCTGTGGTGACTGTCCCTGCTTATTTCAACGACTCCCAGAGACAGGCTACCAAGGACGCCAGCGCTATTTCTGGGCTCAACGTCATGCGAATTATCAACGAGCTCACCACGGGCGCTATAGCCTATGGGCTGGACAAGAAGGCCTCGAGAAAAGGTGAGCAGAACGTCCTTATTTTCGATCTCGGCGGAGGCACTTTTGATATCTCGTTTTTGACTATTGAATAGGGGATATTTGAGGTGAAGGCCACCGCCAGCGATACTCATCTTGGTGGTGAAGATTTTGATAATAGAATGGTAAATCACTTTGTGGCCAAGTTCAGGAGGAAGCATAAGAAGGATATCAGTGGAAATGCCAGAGCTTTGAGGAGGTTGAGGACGGCGTGTGAGAGGGCTAAGAGGACCCTGTCTTTGACCTCTCAGACCACAATTGAGATTGATTCTTTGTACGAAGGGATTGATTTCGCGACGATTACAAGGGCCAGGTTCGAGGAGTTGAATATGGATTTGTTCAGGAAGTGTATGGAGCCGGTTGAAAAGTGTCTGAGGGATGCTAAGATCAACAAGAGTCAGGTTCACGATGTTGTTCTGGTTGGTGGGTCGACTAGAATTCCCAAGGTTCAGCAACTTTTGCAGGATTTTTTCAATGGGAAAGAGCTGTGCAAGAGCATAAACCCGGACGAAGCGGTTGCCTATGGTGCTGCGGTTCAAGTTGCGATCTTGAGCGGCGAAGGAGATGAGAAAGTGCAGGACCTGTTGTTGCTCGATGTCACGCCTCTCAGTCTTGGGGCATGAGACAGCTGGTGGTGTTATGACTACTCTCATCTCGAGGAACACAACAATTCCAACCAAGAAGGAGCAGATTTTCTCTATTTACTCCGATAATCAGCCAGGGGTTTTGATCCAAGTCTACGAAGGAGAGCGCGCCCGAACCAAGGACAACAATTTATTAGGGAAGTTTGAGCTCACTGGGATTCCTCCTGCTCCTAGAAGCGTGCCCCAAATCAATTTGTGCTTTGACATTGATGCGAATGGCATTTTGAATGTGTTTGCTGAGGACAAGACTGCTGGAGTGAAGAACAAGATCACCATCACCAACGATAAAGGAAGGCTGAGCAAGGAAGAAATAGAGAAGATGGTGCAAGATGCAGAGAAGTACAAGGCAGAGGACGAGGAGGTGAAGAAGAAAGTGGACGCCAAGAATGCGTTAGAAAACTACGCATATAACATGAGGAACACGGTGAAGGACGACAAGTTTGCAGGGAAATTGGACCCTGCGGACAAGGATAAGATCGAGAAGGCAGTGGAGGATGCCATTAATTGGATGGAGGGGAACCAGCGGGCTAAGGTTGATGAGTTGGAGGGGTTATGCAATCCAATAATTGCTAAGATGTACCAGGGTGGTGGTGGTGCTGGAGGCATGCCGCCTATGGGGGATGATGACATGTCTGGTGGTGCTTCTACTGGCTCTGCGACTGGACCTGGCCCTAAGATGGAAGAAGTTGATTAAGTTGTTTCTAGTGGAGCTCTGTTTTCGTTTTTGGGGTCTTAAAAGTTTTTGTTGTTCTGTTTTTGGTTAAGCTTGTAAACATGTGTTTTTTGAGTTTTTTTTTTATAAAAAAAATCCCTAAGTAGTGTATGTTTATATGTAATAGAGAGTCAGCAACCAATCTAATATAAGAAGTTGGGTTTACTTTTTTGGTTCATAGTGAGACTTGTCTTATCAAAAAATGATAACAACAATGGAGAAGTTTCATGTTTGTGCAACCATCGATTCAGCAGCCGGTAGTTTAGTTCATCCTGGGAACCCAAAGAAAAAAAGCTTTCAAAATGTCTCTAGCAAATTGGTTGGCAATTCACCAAAATCAATTCACAAAAGAACGAAAAAGAAACTGTGCCGCATTTGATGCTGGCTTACCTTCAGACCTCAGTGAAATTTAAAATCAAACTAATTGAATGGCTCCAAAAGTTTAAATGGATGGCAGGTCAAAATCTTGAGCCGGGCCTTATTGAAATGGGCCTAGACAAGCTATGGCCCAATAAGGAACGAAGCCCATCGCAGTCCAGTCAACTCGCATTCTTCTTCATCCAATTCAACATCCTAAAAATTATGGATAAGGAGGAGAAGGAATTTGCTGAAAGCAGTAGCTAGCTGTTGTTGAGTGTTTTGAGCCATGGCTGGGATCACCACCAGCTGCGCATCCAAAGCTATGCTATCCCGAACCACATATAAAACGACGCCGTCTCCATTCTCACTCTCACTCTCCTCCGTGGAGTCCAAACTCTTCGGCCTTCGTTTTAATAACTCCTCCAGCTGTTTTAGCTGTCTCTCCTCAACCGTCAGCAGCCCAATAACCGCCCGTTTCGGCGGTGGGCCGCGTTTTCCCGGCAACGACCCCAGGCGCTCACGGAAAAGCGACTCCGATGAGGACGAGGCCCTTGATATCTCCTCTATCAGGTTAATCAATTTATTAGTTTATCAATAATTTATGCATGTGATCAATTTTCGTCAATCGAAATTGAATTTTTGAGTTGGTGGTTTGTTTTGAAATAGGTCAGATACCGTGAGGCTAATTGATGCGAAGCAGAACATGGTTTGCATTTTCTTTTTCTTCTGTTATTTATTTTGTCTTAATTTTTATTTAATTTATGTTAAACTGCTCAGTTTAGTTGCTGGTGAATTGGAGGGAGGGGGGGAATATAAAAAGCATTATCAAAGTCTTGAAGTTGTTTATTGTTGTTCTGCGTAGGTTGGAGTGGTCTCTAAAAGAGAGGCTATTCGACTGGCTGACGATGCTGATCTTGATTTGGTATACATTTTGCCACTAATTTTTGTTTTTCCTTTTTGTGATTTATTATTTGAGCTTCTTATTTGAGTTAGAAATGATGCTTTTATAACATGGTTTTGAAGACTAATCTCTTCTGCATTGTTGCAGGTAATATTATCTCCAGAAGCAGATCCTCCAGTTCTCAGGATAATGGATTACAAGTATGATAGCTTTCATATGATTTTAGAACAAGTCCATAATTCTCTTCATTTCGACTGTTTCCTGTTCTTATTTGTGATAAATGCTCAAAATGTTCTTATTCAAATCGATCCTCTTACAGTTTTATGTTATTATAATGACGTAATTGAACATAGATAGCAAGAGGTGTAACTACTGATGCATTACTGATAAACTGTGTTAGCACATTGACCAGTTTGTTGAGTGGAAATGCAAAATTGGGATCTCAGTTTTTTTCCTATAAATCCTGTCAGCAAATTTACAGATGTGTTTACAGGGAACCAATTGCCCTAAATATATGTTCTTTTCTTTTCAATCAGAGAACGGGTAGACCTAATTATCTATACCTTTTCTTTTTGTCAGTAAATATAGGTATGAACAACAGAAGAAGAAAAGAGGCCAGCAGAAGAAAAGTGCAGGTGAGTGTTCACTGTCTTGAGACTGTTTCCTTTTTCTTTCTATTTCATGCATAATCCTCCGATTTGAGAAAGACACTGACTGGAGTCTTGTCTTATATGTTAGCAAGCCGCATGGATTTGAAGGAGCTCAAAATGGGGTAAAGCACTGAATCATATATATGGTTTTTTGCATTCAGTCTTATTTCAAATCTCAGAATAATAACATGTTTGTTTGATGTGTAAGTTCATTAATGGCTGATTAAATAGATATTGAAAAAAAAGAAGGTTGAATTACATAGATAGTTGCATATATAACTTTTATATTATGAAACAATATTTTTCTTTGATAGGCTTGTAGTGTTAATATGGCTTCCACCAAAGAAAATGAGAGTATGTTACTTTGAAGTATGAAGCAAAAGTCGAACTCTCTCATGGTTAATTTTCAAAAACATCAAACTAAGCACACAAAAAAAACTTTATCTGTGCTATCATGAGAGGATCTTAAATGGAACTTGGCTGGATTGTTTCCAACAAATAGTCAACTCAACCGAACAAGGCCTCGTTGGCAGCTACTGTGGGTCATCTGTCCATGGTGCTTTATGAATAATGTTTTTAAGTGTTAGTTTTCTCAAATTTTTGCTAGACATTAAGCAATTGAGTGAATCATTAGCTGTCAATATCTGACTTGGTACTTTTGTCATGTGACTGGCTCTGGTTGCGATGGTGTTGACTGTTCATATTAATTAGAATATGCGAGTGGTAAAACCAGTAACATAAATTAGGTTTTCAGATGTTTATGCGTGTGGCATTTACTTATATGTTCTAAATTTTATTATTTAATAAAGGGCCTTGATTCCTAATTTGAACCAGATGCTGTACTTTATTTGTATGTATAATTTTTTTGATAATTATTATTGTCTGTACAGTTACAACATTGACCAACATGATTACTCTGTGCGTTTGAGAGCTGCCCAGAAGTTTTTGAAAGATGGTGATAAGGTTGCTTAGATTTCTCAATAATGTCAGGATTTTCCTTCCTATATTAAAACTCCCTGTATTGTTCTTATGGTCTTATGTATTGAATTTTTGTAGGTCAAGGTTATTGTCCACTTGAAAGGCCGTGAAAATGATTTCCGAAATATTGCTATTGCACTTATCAAACGCTTCCAGAATGATGTTGGGGAGGTAATGATGCATTTTTGTGTTTAGAATCATAAACAGATGGTAAATACTAAGTGCTTGTTTTTCAAATGCCTGAAGTGCTTCAGATTGGTCTTTTTTTTGGAGGGGGGTGGAAGGAGTTTACAATCTAGAGCTCTTTTAAGTTATGGTTATTTTCATTAGGAGTAAGTCAGCTGTTCAGGTTTTTTTTAATCTACAATTGTTTGCTTGTTTCCATGGGTTGCAGCTGGCAACAGAAGAAGCCAAAAGCTTCAGCGACAAGAACATGTTTATAGTTTTAGTTCCCAACAAGGCTATTCTACAGAAAGCTCAAGAACCGCCGCCAAAGAAGAAAGAAAACTCTGCACCTGCAGTGAATGAAATATCAGCTGGTGTCTGAGTGGACTTGAGTTTGAGGCAGGCTTTACATATAGGTAAATCATTTGGATTTTCATTTTGTTTGTCAACTAGGTTGGGAATCTCTGAGGTTGTGTATAGTAGTAGTGTAATAGTGTTGTACGAGAAGAACATGTATAATAGATTTTGATATCAAGACTGTCTTTTCAATTAACGAACTTGCAGAATTTTGTAGACTGTAATCTTCAAAATAAAAAATAACAAAAATGTAAAGCTTTCATATGAAGCAAACATGTCTGGTCCAGACTAGATGAACATTTAACAGTTCCATTGCAACAATTAGTCTTGTAGGCAGTCTGATCAAACAATTTAGTGATTGTGTTTGAGATATATTCTCTTATTTCTAGTTGTTCTCTCGGGACACGTGCTTTCGAAGACAAGGAATATGGCCAGGGGGAAGTATGTGCGATTGCATCATCAAATAGTCTTGATTGCTTATTTGGACAGGTGCTGGATGATTGCTGTTGAAGCAGATTAAGTGATCAAACCTGGTTATGCATATTGTTATTCAAATGCTTATTATTATTATCCACCGTTCTTTTGCATATGGAAAGTAGGAGAGACTGGCATGATGTTAATTCGACCCCAGTGAAGCAAAGCGTCCAGAGCATGTGCTAGTGAGTTGTAATAGGTTGCTGGTTAATTATATAGAAGTTGGGGTGTTTTGCTAATCTCTGACTCTCTGTGTGTGCCCAGATGGGGAGGCTTCAACTCACCTACCTAACGATTTGAACTTGGCTTAGCTTCTAAGTTCTTAGAACTCAAGTCTTCTCGTTTGCATATTTTTCTTATGTATAACTGGGTAACCACTAAATTTTTTTAAAGCAATGTTTCTGCACTAGTTTAAGTATTTTTCTGTTGGGGGGAATCGTGTTTCTTATCAGATATGGGCCCACTGTGACCCAAGTATATCAATCAACAACAAACTTAACTGTATTTTCTTAAGAGGAAATGTGGTGGAAATGTGGTCTTGTGAAACATGTTATGCTGTAATGTCCAACCTGCATATCGATTCTTACTTGGATTTATGAATAAATTGATGACAACGTAACCAAATTCCCTTTATTTCTGTTCGGGTGTAAATTTACAATGTCACGGTCTATGAAAGAAGTCAACAAAAGCGACTGATCCAAATGCCAATGATTTCTTGTAATACATCATCAACCATCCCCGCTATCCCACCCACCAATGATAAACAAGTTATGAGCTCAAACGGAATAAAAGATTTTTTGGACCAGAAAATTGCAGATCGGAAAAAAGAAAAAGAAAAAGGAACTTTGGAGTTCTACTGTGAATCTCAAACAGAATAATCTTCAAAGTGGGAGTGGAACAGTAGGAAAAATGTCCTAATTGCCCAATTAATTACCTTCCCTGTTACATAATTCGTAGGTAATAAAAAATAAAAAAATAAAAACCAATTTTAGAGAAACAGTTTTTGTTGGGTACTACTACATCGATGATTTAATAGCACCCAAAATAAATAAATAAAATGAAAAATAAGGGAAGGTGACAGTGAGGGTTGAAGAAAAAGGCGGGAGAGAAGGTGAGTATAGTTGAAGGTATGGACGGAAGCTTAGGTTGAAGGCAATGGCAATGGGGACCCTGCAACAAACATCCATCTGGCCTTGAAACTTGTTTGAGAATATTAGGTGGTGAGGTGAGAGACGGCCCGCACCAAATATCTCATGCCAACCTTTAAGCTTAGCTAGCTATCTTACTACTAGTATTACTACTTCCCCACCCCTTCTTCATCATAAAAACGAAACCTCACCATCTAGACATCCTCATCCAAACACCATGGAAGCCAGCGCCGGACTTGTCGCCGGTTCTCACAACCGCAATGAACTCGTCGTCATTCATGGACATGAAGAGGTAATTAATAAATCACATAATTAATTAATGAACTATAAGTGTATGTGTTTGATGTTTTTCTGATGTTTTCTGATGTTTGATGCCTGCAGCACAAACCATTGAGGAACTTGGATGGGCAGGTGTGTGAGATATGCGGGGACGATGTGGGGTTGACGGTGGATGGAGATTTGTTTGTGGCGTGCAATGAGTGTGGGTTCCCAGTTTGTAGGCCTTGCTATGAGTACGAGCGCAGAGAAGGCTCCCAGAACTGCCCTCAGTGCAAAACCAGATACAAGCGTCTCAAAGGCAGCCCCCGCGTCGAAGGAGATGATGACGAAGAGGACGTGGATGACATTGAACATGAATTCAACATTAATAGTAACCATCATCCAGAAGATGATGATCAACTTAATAATGGCAACACCAGATCATCAACTTATAATAAGCACAATATTAATAATGAGCATCTGGCTGAAGCCATGCTCCATGGCAAGATGAGCTATGGCAGAGGCCCTGACGATCCTGATCAAGACTCCCAATTCCCATCTGTAATCGCTGGTGGCAGATCCCGCCCGGTATTTTTAATCAAACCCCACTAATTCATATTCATACTGTGAATAAATTAACTCATGTGTACATATTCATTGATCTATGCATTCAGGTTAGCGGAGAGCTCACATTCTTATCTCATGGAGATCAGCAGATGCCATCTTCTTCATTGCATAAGCGAGTGCATCCCTACCCAGTTTCTGAGCCCGGTATGATATATATACTATATTCACTCATTTTATCTATCTATCTATCTATCTATCTATCTATCTATCTTGTTAATTTTTGAAAGATGTATTAGTTTGTGGATTAAACTCCTTCCTAAAATAGTAATTCCAAACTTCCATCACATATACGTTTTGCAATTTATACAGGAAGTGAAAGATGGGATGCTGAGAAGAAAGAGGGAGCTGGGTGGAAAGAGAGAATGGATGACTGGAAAATGCAGCATCAAGGCAACCTGGGGGGCCCTGATCAACCTGATGACTTGAATGATGCAGACATGTCCATGTACGTACATATACATACAATAAGTCCTTAATTTCATTTATTTATGAACATCATACAATATAATATAATATATGGTACTGCCTGCAGGAGCGATGAAGCTAGGCAGCCACTCTCAAGGAAAGTACCAATTGCATCAAGCAAGATCAACCCTTATCGGATGATCATTGTGGCTCGCCTTTTTATTTTGGCCTTCTTCCTTCGGTATAGGCTTTTGAATCCAGTCTTTGATGCATTTGGCCTCTGGTTAGCCTCTGTCATCTGTGAAATATGGTTTGCGATTTCATGGATCCTTGATCAGTTCCCAAAGTGGTACCCCATTGATCGTGAGACCTACCTTGATCGCCTTTCACTCAGGTATACATACATATATTATATATAAGCTCTGCTGGCAATGGTTTACACTCAATTTACTAATAAATATATAAAATATGTTACTGCAAGCAAACATAATTTCAGCTATGTCATCTGCCTACACAGGACAACTATCAAATGTTTGTTTTTACAAAAAATATTCAAGGACTTGAAGCCTGATATTCTGCCTCCTTAGTCTCTCATTTTGGCAGTTAATAATATGACATGACATAATGCTTGAGATGAAGTAATATGATGTCTGATGTATCTTAAACCTCTATAAAATCAATTCATGGATGCAGGTATGAGAGAGAGGGCGAACCAAATATGCTCTGCCCAGTAGATGTGTTTGTGAGTACTGTGGATCCGATGAAGGAACCTCCACTTAATACAGCCAATACAGTTCTTTCAATCTTGTCTATGGACTACCCTGTTGATAAGATCTCATGCTACATCTCTGATGATGGAGCTTCCATGCTCACCTTTGAAGCCTTGTCAGAAACTGCAGAATTTGCACGCAAATGGGTTCCTTTTTGCAAGAAATTTACCATTGAGCCTCGAGCCCCCGAGATGTACTTCTCTGAGAAGATTGATTATCTCAAGGACAAAGTCCAGCCAACATTTGTGAAGGAGCGTCGAGCTATGAAGGTGTGTATATGTGCTATAGAATATTATCAATACTAGAACAGACCTGCTTACTTGATTAAGATGCATGATGAAGGCTGATTAATTAAGTAGTTGGTTATAGACATATAAATTTTCTTTTGGTGAATGGCCAAATGCATGCAGAGAGAATATGAAGAATTCAAGGTTAGGGTAAATGCGCTTGTTGCCAAAGCCACAAAGGTTCCACCAGAAGGGTGGATTATGCAAGATGGGACACCATGGCCTGGAAACAATACAAAGGATCACCCTGGTATGATTCAAGTCTTTCTTGGTCACAGTGGAGGCCTTGATACTGAAGGAAACGAGCTTCCTCGTCTTGTCTACGTGTCTCGTGAAAAGAGGCCTGGTTTCCAACATCACAAGAAGGCCGGTGCCATGAATGCCCTGGTAATTATATGATATTTTAATTGAAGGGTTCCTTTTCTTCTGTTTGGTTTGGTTGTCCAATTAAAATTGTGCCATGAATCCTTGGTAACAACAGGTTCGTGTCTCTGGAGTGCTTACCAATGCTCCTTTCATGCTCAACTTGGATTGTGACCATTATGTGAACAACAGCAAGGCTGCGAGAGAGGCCATGTGTTTCTTGATGGACCCCCAAATTGGAAGGAAGGTTTGCTATGTCCAGTTCCCTCAAAGATTTGATGGTATTGACAGGAACGATCGTTATGCCAACAGAAATACAGTCTTCTTCGATGTAAGCATGAAACATATTAGATATTGTTTCTTTCAATAAATTGTGCCAGTATGAATTGAAATGATGTTCTCTTTCTCTTTGGTTTTCAGATTAACATGAAAGGTCTTGATGGAATTCAAGGTCCTGTGTATGTGGGCACAGGATGTGTGTTCAGAAGGCAAGCTTTGTATGGCTATAATCCTCCAAAGGGTCCTAAGCGCCCAAAGATGGTAAGCTGTGACTGCTGCCCATGTTTTGGACGCCGCAAGAAGCTTCCAAAGTATTCCAAGCATGCTGCAAATGGACAAGGTGCAAACCTACAAGGTGGGCATCAATAATCAAACGATTTTTTGTTTCTTAACCAATTTGCTACCTTGCCTGAGTAAAAACTAAACCTGTATTCATATTGTGCAGGAGTGGATGATGACAAAGAGCTATTGATGTCCCAAATGAATTTCGAAAAGAAATTCGGACAGTCCGCAGTTTTTGTGACTTCAACTTTGATGGAACAAGGTGGTGTCCCTCCTTCCTCAAGCCCTGCGGCCATGCTTAAAGAAGCCATTCACGTAATCAGTTGCGGTTATGAAGACAAAACTGAATGGGGTTTAGAGGTAAAGTTTGTAACAATTCCTTTTTATTGGTAAAGTTAGAATAGATTCTCTTGATTTATTATTGAGTATATTGCTACTATTTCAAATGCAGCTGGGTTGGATTTACGGGTCTATCACAGAGGATATCCTAACAGGTTTCAAGATGCATTGCCGGGGTTGGAGGTCAATTTACTGTATGCCAGAGAGACCTGCATTCAAGGGAACAGCTCCCATTAACTTGTCAGATCGGCTCAACCAGGTGCTTCGTTGGGCACTTGGTTCCATTGAAATCTTTTTCAGTCGCCACAGTCCACTCTGGTATGGCTACAAGGGAGGGAAGCTCAAGTGGCTTGAGCGGTTCGCTTATGTCAACACTACTGTCTACCCTTTCACCTCCCTTCCTCTCCTTGCCTATTGTATCCTACCTGCCGTCTGCTTGCTCACCGATAAATTCATCATGCCATCGGTAACAATTTCTAGTTATCTTTTACATTACACTGGATGGTAGAAGATGATAAATAACAAATGATTGGACACAAACGAAAATGGAAATAATTCCACTTCTTCATGCA